ATATATATATATAATTAATAAATATCGACATTAATAGCACAACTATTTTAAATTACCACTTTTATTTGATTAAATTATATTCATTATGATTTTTATATAAGTTGCAAATTTAAATTTACTTTTAACTCTTACACATTTTTTGAACGATTTTCAGCTGGATATTCACATCGAGATTTTGATTATAATACAGTAAAATTGTGTTTTCAAGCAATATTAATGGGTTCTCAAGAAGGACAATACTATCAACTTGAGCCAATTGTTTCTGATAATATACCTAACAAAAGTGAATTTTATGATTCAACACTACAAAAAACATTTTTAAATACTTAATATTTTAATTTTTTTGTTTTTTTTTTTTTTAGAAATGACTGGTCTAACGATTTATAGATTGAGTCACGCATCAGCTCCAATCACAGGAAATACTGAAATAATACTACTGTGCGACAAAGTGGACAAAAGTAAAATTTAATTTTTTTTAGTATTTTATTATTATTAGATATTACTTTTTATATTTGTGACTATACTCGATTGTTATTATTATTAATAAGATTTCGACTATAAGGATTGCTCCGATTATTAAAAAAAAGAGATATTTTTTAATAGAAAACGTTATCTAGTTTCAAAAACTATTATAATGAATTACTATAAATAAAAACTATATTATTAATACTTTATAATAATTATATAATAGTATACTATATATCAGGGGTGGCCACTAACCTTAACTTTGGGAGCCGCAAATTTATAAAGCTAATTTGAGGTGAGCCACATTGTAAAGCGATGTTTTTGAAATGAAGACACATTGAAAAATAAACTCAAATTGAAGGAATGTTTATTTTTTACATTACATAAAACATTATTATTATTGACATAGTTATTAACATTATTATTGATTTGATAGAACGTTTATTTTTTACACTACATAAAACATTATTATTATTGACATAGTCATTAACATTATTATTGATTTATTTATAAGAAATGCTTTTTCGAGTGTTTATTTTTTCTGGGAGCTTTGTGAAATCTGGCTGATAATTTGTAATCGCAGTTCGCACAAGTTCACTTAAATGTTCATCAGTTAGTTCAGATCGATAATTAGATTTAATGAATTTTAACGTTGAGTACAATGATTTACACACATAAGTAGTGCCAAAGAATGAAATAAGTTTCATAGCACACATTTTTGTTTGTGGGTATTTTTCTTCTGGGACATTTTTCCAAAATTCTATGGTTGAAACGCCACTTCGTTTAAGTTCTTTTAGTCCTTTGTTGCGTGCCGTCGTTCAATCGTAACGATGGTTAAGTTTTTAGGATAATACTCCAAATAAAAATACTCAAATATAATTTAACTGTTTATTTAAGAATTCTTCTAAGTACAAAAACATTAATTTAGAAAATGATCTGGCATGAAGGTGCTTGCGACTGTACATGTAAACCACATCTGAATATTGGTCTATTCCCAACCCCCTTATATACTTAGGTCCCGTGGGAATCATACGTGCCGCGCTGTGCGAAAGTCGTTTTCTATTATTATAAATATAAGATTTATTACCTTAGTGACCTTGTTAATATTACTATTCGCGCATCTCTCATATGCGTTTTTACTAATTGCAGTATTAAAAGATTTAGCTATGTTCGATAATGCCTTCGGCTTTTAATTATTCCTTTCTACATTGTTCACCGATGCTAATCATTTATTGGTAATTGTAAGGACCTACTTTTATGTATGTCCGAAATATCGTATTACCCTCTAATTAAATTAATAGTTTCTTTTTATTATTGCGAATACTTTATTATTCATAATCATTTCCCGATCTCGATTTATGTGGTCTCGCCCATATTGTAAGAGTCGTAAGGACCTACATTTATGTATGTCCGCAACACCTTCGTCTTCTTGCAGTTCTAGTAACTCCAACTCTACAGCTGCTGTATCCTTTGTTATTGGTGATGAAATAGGAAATAGGACAGCCATCGCTCACAACATCAACAGCAAAAGGATTTTCCAGGAATGAAAATGAAGGTTTAAGTGATCTTAAATCATTAAATCTGTGATTGATTTCTTCAGCAAGACCTGACATCTTATTCATATATTCTTCAGTTTTCATCGGAATGTCGGGAAAGCTTTCACTAATTTTCTTCAAACATTTGAAGTGAGCAAATGTTTTTGTCTGAAGGTCTTTTGTAAAAAGCTTTAACTTGTTATGAAAGCTAAATACAGTCTGGGCCAAATCAGAAATAAGTTTTTTCTTTCCTTTTAAAGATTTATTTAGAGTTTGTAAATACTGAATCACATCTATAAAAAAAGCCAAATCTAATAACCACTGGGGTTCACTAAGTTCAGGAAAAGATTTTCCTTTTTCTTCCATAAACTGTTTGATTGGATCAAGTAACTCAAAAAAACTGCCAAGAACATTGCTTATTGATAGCCATCTCACTAAGCAGTACCAAGATACATCATTAGATAACTCATAGTTGTTCATATCTTCTATAAAAGATTTGAACTGTCGGTGTGTTTTGGCACTTGAGCGAATAAAGTTTACAATTTTTAGAACTATCTGCATAATATGCGGATATTGAAAATATTTTGCTGCTAAATGTTCTCTGTAAATAATACAATGTACAGGTAGGAAATCAGAATATGATGTGTCAGCTTTTAATAGTCCAATAAGCCCTTGTTTTGTACCAGACATAGAAGGTGCACCATCGGTAGCAAGGTGTCGCGTCATTTGGTCGTGGTAAAAAGAGCGCATGTTTTAAGAGCGAGGTCATTTGGTCGCCAGCAATTTAATCGCGGTACATAAATAGCGTTAGATTAGAACAATATTATACTGTTATTGAAACTGCAGTTTCATAGTGTTGGTTAATCAGTTCGCTTTTTCCGTTTGGGATTTAACGTGTGTGCAGTGTGCTAAATATATTATTAAATTAATTAAATTAAATTGTATTAATTATTTAATTAATATTATGGCATTAATATATGTATTAAGTCAGAAAGGTGAAAAGTTATTAGTACACAATCATTT